ACGCGGGCCAACTACAAGGCCCAGGCTGCTCCGCGCCCCCGTGTTCCCACGGCGGCGAGCGCGGGCCGCGTTGCATCCTGGAGCTGGCGGTCCCCGGGGTCCCATTGTGTCTGCGCACGTCTTCCGCCGGGACCTAACGGAAGGGCGGCGGGGGTTCTGTCTGGATGTGCAGTTTGTTCGGATGGACTCCACTAGCACCCGGAGGGAAAGTCGGGATGTCGCCTGTTAGGTAGAAGGGAAAAGCAAATACTCGACCCCAAACGAAACCCAACAGATTTAACGGAAAGGTTTGCACTTGAAGTGCTTGCAGTGACTTATGTCCTGGATCCTCGTTGTCAGTTTTGCAATCAGAGGACCCAATCCTGGTTTTCTTGGAGCTTGCATTACTTGGTTACATCATCCCTGAGTGGAAAGCGTGCAAGGAAAAAAAAAAAAAAAGGCCAGCGCTTCTTGTCGGGAGAAAAGTGCATGCCTGCAAGGCACAGGACGCGCGCGCCGCAGAGCCAGTCTACCACGTCTCCTCGGAGACCTCGGCAGAAATGTAACACAGAAATCTGGTTGTCCAGACTTTTCTTATTTGCGCACGGGCTAGAAATCCCAAGCCAGTGGGTGACCAGCCCACTGGGGGGGGGCTGATAATTTGCATTTTGAATATTAAATACAGCGCTCCGGGGAGGGAGGGGGCTAAGCTAGGGGGTCACACGCTATCCACAACGGTTTCCAGAACCTCTCCCCAGCCCGCACCGTCTTAGCCCACCTTCTTCCGCTGTGTCCCTGGGCCTGCACATCCAGGACCGAGGGAAGGCCAACTCGCGCTTGAAATGCACTCCCGCATCCTTCTAACGTGATCTGCACCTTTAAATTTACTCCATTCCAAAGCAGACCCCGGAGGCACCACCCACATCCGTCTAACATCACTTCCTTCAGAGTTTGGTGGGGGGGAATCCGGGACCCCGAGGGGTTGGCTTGAGAAGCGCTGGGGTTGCGGAGCGGACGTTTTGCTGGTAACCGGATCCCGTGTCTGCTCGTTCCAGTGGCCCGGCGCACCTCTGCGGTGGAGATGTTGCTTCGATTCGGGACCACCTGTTTGCTGAGCGTCAGTTTCCTGCTCCTTATCACCTCTTCAGAAGGACGCAGTGGACTTGGAAAGGGTGAGACCTCGCTCTTAATCTTTATGGATCTCGGGCCCCAGCTGGTCGTAACCCCCTTCTTGCTCTTACTCTTTTTCCTCCCTCACTTTATCGCTTAGGCCACTCCAGATTTCTTTTTCTCTTCCCCAACCGCTCCTGGGAGTTTTAAAATTTCTTGGGGTAAGGGAGTACCAGGGCTGCGGAAGGTTTAGGTAGAGAAGTTGTACTTGAGGACTCTTTAATTTTGAGGTTTAGGGATGAAATGACCTTTAAATAAGGACTAGCATTTTTACGAGTCCAGCATGTATATTAGGCACTTGAGTCGCCTTCAGGAGCAGTCACCTTCCCATCCAGAAGAAATAGGGTCACTGGTGATCTGTGTATGCAGAGATTTCCCGCTTGGGTCTTAAGATTACTTATTTTTCCCTGAAGAGCCTTCTCCTGCTTACCAGGAGGCACATAAGAAAGGGCCAAATTTGAAGGCTAGGTCTTTTACTAGAGGGTCACCAACAGTTGTGTTTGGTGTGGCTCAGTTAGTGTGTTGTAAGAAACGTATTTATTTATATGTTTATTATTTAGCGATTTGTTTTGAGGCGCAAAGGACCAGCCAGTGGTTATGAATGGAGGTTAGGAAGTGTGTACCCCAACTCCATTCTATTACTGACATCTTTTTAAGCTTGACCATCTTTCTTCTCGTCAGCTTTCTTGAAAGTTGACTCTGAGCTTTTCATACTTTCCTAAGTGGGTGCTTTGTACGTGGATCCCAAGCTTGCTTTAGTTTTTCGTTCTTTTTATTTGTTGGTTTGTTTTGTACTGACCTTACGGGCAGGATGGGATCATCCTGCTGCAACCTTGCAGGTTTGTTTTGTTGTTTTTTATCTTTGTGAGACAGGGTCTCCCTGCAGCCCTAGCTGGCCTGGAATTCACTGTGTAGACCAGGCTGGCCTTGATCTCTCACAGAAATCGTGCCTTTGCCTCCTGAGTGCTGGTCACACCTGGTTACGTTTTGTTGTTGTTGTTTTTTTAAGTGTGCGTGTATCTGTCAGTGTGTTGTGCATCTGCACACGTGTATGCCGATTCACGCTCGTGACTAGGCCAGGTGAGGATGTCCAGTGTTTTCTCTATTGCTTGCTCTCCATCTTACTTTTGAGACAGGATCTCTTACTGAACCTGGGCTCATCATTTAGGCTAGACTGATTGGCTGGTGAGTTTCTAGGCTCCCCAATGCTTGGAGTTACAGGCATGTGTAGCAATGCCAGATCTTTATATGGGTGCTTGGGATTTGAACTCAGGTACTCTTGCTTTCAGAGCAAGTGTTCTTACTCACTGAGTCATCTCCAGACCCAGGCTTATTGTCTTCAGTTGTATATATATTTTAAAATCCTCCCTATTTTCACATTTATTGGTGGGCAATGATTAAGTATGCACTGACAGACTCAACTAGACCCAGAAAAAAAGTGGGGAATTGTTGACCTGTTAGGCGCTAAAAGGGACAAACAAATACTCAACATTTGTTGAGTATTCAGTGGACCTGAGTGCAATCACCTCTATTCTGTGTTGATTTTTGATCACTTACCATATTTTGGTCATTGACCTGGGAACTGGACACATGGCAGTGAAGAGAACAGACAAGGTTCTTGCTCTCGTAGAGCTTATATTCAGGTTAGAAAGGAGCAAGAATGGGGTGGACTCCTGAGTGATTTAGTCAGCTTGTACCGTATGAAAGTATGTTGGAGGAAATAGAAAGGAGGGTGAGGGAACTGGCATTTACTTGAGTTAGGAAAGTGAGGAAAAGCTTTTCTGAGAAGGTGTATTTGCATTTCTACCCGTGAAGGACATTATGAACCTACACAGTGAATCCTAGGAGGTTAGAATGTTTCAGAGTGTTTCAAATACTGATGATCCTATTGTAAAACATACTACTGTGCTTTTGTAATAAATTGTTAAGTAGAGGCAGATTGAGTGTTAGGATGTGGGTGTAGATCTGCAGTTTTTTTGTTTGTTTTGGAGACAGGGTCTCCCTGTAACCCCAGCTAGCCTGGAACTCACTATGTAGACCAGGCTGGCCTTGAACTCACAGAGATCCACCTGCCTCCACGAGAGTGCTGGCATTAATGGCATGTACCACCGTACCGGGCGAAGATCTGCATTTTTATCTGTTTTGCCACTGATCAAATGAGATGCCTTTGGCAAGCAGCTTAATCTCTTACAGTCTCAGTTCTTCAGCTACAAAATGGGCATAACAGTTACCTAAGACTGAACAAGTAATTTACTCTGTTCCATTTACTGTGTTAGGTACATGCAATATTGTGGAGTCTTGTATTGACTATCAATTCTTTGCTAGGCAGTAAGCTCTGTGTAGTTGATTCAGTTACCATCATTGCCTAATAAACCACTCCAGAATCTGTTGACATAAAGAAATCATTTTACTAGGCATATTGGTACACACCTGTAATCCAAGCACTTGGAGACTGAGGCAGAAAGATTATGAGTTTGAGGCCAGTCTGACTACGTAGTTCAAAACTATCCCGTGCTACATAGTGAGATCCTGTCTCCAAAAAGCAAGGGTTTGAAATATGTAGTTCAGTGACAGAATGTGTACTTATCATTTCCAAGGCCCAGGGTCTAGTCCCCCAGCACCACACACAATAATATTATTTTATTGTTACAGTATGTGGATCAGAAATTTGAATGAGGCCAACAGGGAAGGCTTTTCTAGGTCCTCAGGTAGCTGGTTATCTGATCTCCCTATGGTTTGGCATAGGCTAGTGTAAGCATCCTCACAGTATGGCAACTGGATCTGGAGACTGAGTACTGTAAAGGAATTAGATGGAAATGCATGGCATCTTTATCATCTAGCCTTAATAAGTCACATAACATTACTGACATTCTGCAGGGCCAAGTTCAAGAAGAAGGGACATTACTACCTCTACTCCTAATGGGAGGTATTTTGAGGTCACCTTGTGAAGAGGAGCTTTTGAGTTTGAAATCATCTTTAGTGACTACAGTAAGCCAGGATCCTTTCTGTTCAAGAATATTTAGTGAAAGAAAAATGAATGGCAAATACATTCATCACGATCCTTATCCTTTTTTAAACAAGTAGGCAGTTACAAGACTACTTAATATGTACTTTGAGCAGGGAAATACCAAGTAGCTACAGCAGCATTTAGAAATGCAACTCAAGGAATAGGATTAGGTTGTGAGAATTCAATGATAAAAAGATATCCTGTAACATGCTTGAAAAGTATTCAGAAAATGAAATGCTAATTGATAGTCTTTCATCCCATGAAAGGATATTTACTTATTCCTATAATGAATTAATTACATTTCAAACTTTTTTGTTTTATGTAACTCTTGGTTAGAGAGTCTTTGACCATAAGATTATATCTTACCCTGCCTCTTAAAAATGTGCTACCTGGTAGGCGTGGTGGCTCACTCCTTTAATCCTAGCACTCCAGAAGCAGAGGCAAGTGGATCTCTGTGAGTTAGAGGCCAGCCTGGTCTTCCTAGCAAGTTCCAGGCCAGCTGGAGCTACAGGGAGAACCTATCTCAAAAAGACAGAAAAAAAAAAAAAGCTACCTGAGGCAGTAGTTACTGAAAATTTTGATGAGTATTATTTCTTCCATGATATCTAAGTAGCTCCATCCAGATCTTTATAGTGATGACTCGGTTGTTTGCACAGGGGAAAGACTGAATGACCCTTCCCACCTCCCCTGTTCTAGTTTGTTTCTCCATACTCTCACCAGTACCAACTTGAGGAGGAAAGGGCGTATATGGCTTCTATCTCCCAGGTCACAATTCATCCAGGAGCCCAAGGTAGGAACTCAGGGCAGGAACCTGGAGGCAGGAGTTGGAGCATAGGCCATGGAGGAACACTGCTTACTAGCTTGCTCCCCTGGCCCATGCTCAGCCTGCTTTTTATACAATATAACCTGCCCAGGGATGGGACCACCCACAGTGGCCTGGGCCCTCCCACATCACTTAATGATCAAGAAAATATTCCACAGACATGGCCACAGGCCAGTCCAATGGAGGCAATTTCCTAGGTGAGGCTCCCTCTACCCAGGTGTGTCAAGTTGACAACTAAAGCTATCCAGCACACCAGCCCCACCCCATCCTACTCCTGAGTTTTCATATAAAGAGGAAGCAAATGGTGTGGAGTGAACACTAGATTGAAATTAATAGGCCAAGATTTTTTTAATCTTAGGCTAAATAGCCAGCTCTGGCTAAATGACCATTTATTAAGTAAGAGAGTTGAACTAGAAATATTTCCTAAGGGTTCTTCAGCTCTGACATTGTAGAGTTCTAAAATAATTTCATTGTTCTCTGTGGGCTAGAAAATTTAGAATAAATCACCTATGGAGAGGAGTGTAATAATTAACATTCCTATCTACTGCTTCCAGGTACTGATCTGTGCATTTTTCAAACATTGACTGATTTAATCCTAATTATTAATGCTATGAGATGGGTAATATTTTGTTTTTATCATCATCCCCATTTCAGAATGGAGAACCTAAAATGAGGCATTAGGAATTAAAGTAGTAAGCCGACTAGCTGAAACACAAATCCTAAAGCCAGTGTCCTTAACTGGTGCAGCACTTTGGCCTCTTAGTACAGAGGGACAAACTAGAAACCTCTTAATGGAAGCAATTCACATGCTCTCCTGCCTATAATAAGAATAGATGACTTCAATCTCTAGAATAAAAAGTGGGCACCTTAACACAAAGTGTCCTGTTCACTATCACCCGAGACAGATTTTTGTTAGCCATATTTGGCATCTGTAAAAACAGTGTTACTGATCTAGGGTTCCAGATCAGGTCTCTATAGCAGACGTCACTTAGCCGCTGGTTACTCTGCCTCTCAGGTACAGTGTTCCCTATCATAGGCTTGGCTGCGGGCTCTAACGTTTGACCTTTAATTATTTAGGTTTCATCACCTGGAGGACTGAGTGGGCAATCCTTTTCTTTAGGACAATCTTTAGGATAAAGAGCTTGCAAACTGATGTAAATGCTGTGTTTGGA